AACAAAGCCAAGTTGTTTCAACTGCATACTTAACCTGGAGTACCATGCTCTAGGTGCTTGTTTCAAACCATAGAGAGCCTTGTCAAGCTTGCATACATAATGTGGTTTTTGCCTGTTTTCATAACCTAGTGGTTGCCTCATGTAGACCTCCTCTTCCAGAACACCATGCAAAAACGCGTTCTTTACGTCTAGCTGTCTCAAGCTCCAACCCCTAGACACAGCAATTGCTAGCACAAGTATTATGGTTGCAGCTTTTATCACAGGACTAAATGTATCTTCATAATCAATACCATAACGCTGCTTAAACCCCTTAGCAACAAGACGTGCTTTATACCTGTCAATGGAGCCATCTGCTTTTTTCTTGATCCTATACACCCACTTACAATCAATGCTATTTTTACCTTTTTGATTTGGTACCAAATGCCATGTCTTGTTCTTCATCAGGGCTATATACTCCTCGTCCATGGCCTTTTTCCACTTGGGATCTCCAAGTGCATCATCTAGTTTTGTTGGCTCTCCTGAAATACACAGCATACCATACGGGATTGTGCCATCAGTTCTTATTTTTGGGTTCTTGATACCTTTTTGTAGCCGAGTTGTAACTCTGGATGTGGCTGGTTGCTGCTGCACACGCTGGCGCACGGATCACCTGTTGCAGAAGATCCCGGAGAAGAGATAGGCGTCGCCACATCAGATCCTGTGGTCGCAGATGTGGCCTGTTCTTCCACAGCCGCTCCACTTGTGGCCGCAGATGATCCCGTGCCAGCCGCGTCAGGTGAGCCTGTTGCTGCATGCGCCCGCCGCGCCTCGCAGCGGTTGGCTGCATGCGCGGGTCGCTCGAGGGAGATCCTCCGCGTGAGGACGTGGCGGCTGCGGAGCGGCTCGCCCGCGCCTGGCTCTCCTGGCCGACCAGGGCGTGATCCGAGGAGGATATCCGCGCATGATCCGAGGGAGACTGACGCGCAGGGGTGGCAGGCGCCGCCAAATCATCCTCGAACGCCGCGCCATCTTCGTCTTCTTCTTCTACATGAAATATAGCCTCATTTTGGACGTGATTTTGATCATTCTGACCGTCATTTTCTTCTCCGTTTTCTTCAGGTACATGCACACACGGAAGACAAGGGCTGGTTCCAGCAGGAACATTATCATCATGTTGATTTGTGCAATTGTTTCCCCCGTGATCAAAAGCTCGAAGTGTAGATGGAAGAAGAAGAATCTCTTGACGAAGGAGAGCGCCGGCATTGGGATGGAGAGATTCAAAAGGGAAAACTGATTCATCGAACACAACATCTCGAGATATATAAACTCGGCCTCTAGGAACATCTAGGCACTTGACTCCTTTGTGCATAGGGCTATAGCCCAAAAACACACATTTTTTTGAACGAAACGCAAGTTTGCGTGTGTTGTAAGGTCTTAGGTTTGGCCAACAAGCACAACCAAAGACTCGTAGAGATTTGAAATCTGGTTTTGTTCCAAACAAACGTGTGATTGGGCTTTCAAATTTGATGACTTTACTTGGTCGAATATTTATGAGATATGTGGCAGTGAGAAAAGCTTCATCCCAGAATTTTAGAGGCATGGAAGCATTGGCTAGGAGTGCTAATCCTACCTCCACAACATGACGATGTTTATGTTCAACCGACCCATTTTGCTGATGAGCATGGGGACAAGAGACATGGTGAGAAATTCCAATTTTTTGAAAAAAGGAATTTAGTTTCTCATACTCACCACCCGTCGGTTTGCATGGCAAGAATTTTTGAGTCTAGTTGGCGTTCAACAAGATTTTGGAAGTTGGTAAAAACTTGAAAGACATCAGATGTTTTCTTTAGCAGATAGATCCAGGTGAACTTGCTATAATCATCAATGAAGCTAACATAATAAGAGAATCTACCAACTGATGTGGGAGCAGGTCCCCATACATCTGAAAAAATAAGCTGCAATGGAGCAGTAGAAACACTTGTTGATATAGGATAAGGTAACTGATGACTCTTAGCTTGTTGGCAAGCATCACAAATCGACTCAACACTAGACTCATAAGGTAAATTATTCTTGCTAAGGACATGCTGAACTATAACTGAAGAGGGATGACCTAGACGACTATGCCACCTTGCCGAGGAGGGTTTGGTGACACTCCACGCTTGTTTATTCGACCATGATGAAGATGAAGATGATATGAGTGGATATAGGCCTCCCTCACACTTTCCTCTAAGGATGACTCTCCTCGTTGCCAAGTCCTTGATCACAAAAGAGTGAGGATAAAATATTATGAGAACATTGTTGTCAAGAGCAAAACGATGAACAGAGACAAGATTTTTGGAAGCATGTGGAACATGCAAGACATTGTTAAGATGTAGATCTTTTACGGGGGTTTTAACAATTGAATTTCCAACATGAGTAATGTCCATACTAGTTCCACTTGCCGTGTGTACCTGATCACCGCCGTGGTACCTTTCCCGCATCGTCAGCTTGTCGAGCTCCCCTGTGATATGCTCAGTGGCGCCGGAGTCGGCATACCAGTTGGTGTCGATGCCGTAGTTGTTGGTGACGAGGTTGGCTGCCTTCTTTTCTTCATGATCATCATCGTACCGATGCCAGCAGGCTCTTGCCTCGCCAGCGTGGAACTTGTAGCAGATCTGGCACTCAGGGTAGTCGCCCTCTTGCTGCTGCTGTTGTTGTGGTTGAGGGCGAAACCGTTGTTGATGACCACCGCCGCCACCCCCGCGACTAGGGGAAGGAGAGGAGCGGTTTCCTCGACCGCGTCCTCCTCTGTTGCTTCGGCCACGGCCTCCCCTGCCGCGAGACTGCCCGCGCCCTCTGTAGATGGTGTTGGCAGAGGAGCGGAATCCTGCCGGGCCGTCGCCCAGCATCTCCATCCGCTGATCAAACGCGGCGATCTGCGCGAAGAGGTCGTCGACGGTGATGGAGTTCTTGATGGCGCCGATCGCTGCTACGATGGGATCGTAATCCCGATCGAGGCCAGCAAGGATGTAGTCCACCATCTCCGGGTCGGTTACCGGACGCCCAGCCGCAGCTAGCTCGTCCCCGAGGCTTTTCATCTTGGCGATGAACGCATTGCTTGACATGTTCCCTTTCTTGGTGTTGGAGATGGCCATCCGTAGATTAGTTATGCGGGATTGTGACTGCGCGGCGAATAACGTGGTAAGAGCACTCCATAGATCGAAGGTACTATCCTTACCGATCACTTGCGCCAGGATTTCCTGAGTGAGAGAGTTCAGCAGGTAGCTCAGAACCTGCTGATCCTTCGACAACCACGGGCCATACAGAGGATTGGGCTCTATAGCCGTGGTTTTGTCCGCCTTGGTGACTTCTGTGGTCTTCGGCGGTGCGGCATCGCTGCCGTCGAGGAGGCCGGTTACTTGCGCGCCTCGCAGTGCCGGCATGACCTGCGCCTTCCATAGGAGGTAGTCCCCCCTTGCGAGCTTCTCTGTTGGTGGAGCACCTAGGTTGAGGACAACGGCACTCGAGCTCGCAGCCATGGCGATGGGGGATGTCTAGGGTTTCTGGTTTGCTAGACGATAGGAAGAGACGTGGCTCTGATACCATGTAAGATGTATTTGGTGATAGCGTTCCTACTCCTCCGTAGAGGAGCCGCGGGGTTTTATTGATCGAGGCAGGAAACACCCCTGCCGTGGTTTACAAGTCTTCTACCGATCGCTAGGATTCGGTAGGATAAGAGATAGAGATAGGAGGTTACAAGGGAGAGGAGGAGATAAGTAGTTAAGATTACAACTGAATATATCTCTAAGTCTAACAGACGTAGCCCCTGGCGAGCAGGTCCACCCTGATCTTGGCCAGAAGCACCTGGAGGCAGTCGTCCCCGCCAGTCTTCCTCTTGTCAGCTGGCCAACGACGGCACTGCTCGTCTAGCTGCCGCCTACGCTCCTCGATCCACCCCGGCGGGAACACCCCGCCGGGGAGGTTGTCGATGTTGGGGGCCTCCGTCTCCCTGTGGTACATGAACACGGCTATGTCCTCGTCCGACAGCCGGACCATGCCTGCGGCGGAGACGGCGCTGGCGTTGACGGGTCGGACTGCGACATGATCCGGCCCACCGCCGCCTCCAGCTCCGAGGGGCTCAGCGCCCCCGCCTCCGGGAAGCTCGCCAGGTTCTCCCTGACAATCACCCGCAGTTCAGTGTAGGAGTATTCGGAGAAGAGGTCGTCCTCCATCGGCTCGTCCGTCGTCGACAGCAAGCCCTCGCTGCGGTGGATCAGATCAATCGGAAGGCAGACGTACGTAGAAGAATAGAGCGATTGTGATGAGGCGGCTGTGGCGTCGTCTTCGAACCCTCGATCGATACAAGAAGGCAGACGGCAATGGGCTTTGCAGACCAGGCCTGGACAGCTGTACATTGCAATGGGCTTTTTCTTCATTCTCCAAAAAAGTTACTGCACAAACATATGGGACTGTGCTTACGAAAGCCATCATGTAATCACGTGGCTACCAGAGCTTTCTTTTTTGCGGGAAAGCGGAGATTGCAATGCTGTTACTCCAACCAATTCTCGCATATTTATATTTTAACGAATGAATTTATATTCTACACAATATTTTACAGAATAGATGTCCAATACGGCGACAAGCCAAGCATATCGGTTGAATGATGCTGCACGATCAAGGGGTCTGATTCCACACAAAACATTGAGTTTTGCACGGTTGAGGAACACCATCATCATATAAATTTTATTTTTCCTTGTGTTAGTGAGAAATAAGAAAAACTAGAAGATCAAAACCCACATAGTAAGCATACCGTTCGTTGAGATTTTGGTAGCAGCGATAAGTAATTTGTACATGCATAGATTTCCCCGTAACAAAGAATAAGAAATGGCGGCAAGCAGCATAGTAATCCTAACGAGGCCCCGAATAGATCCAAAAGAGTTGATTAAGCTACTAAGGTATTACTTAGCACCCAGCAGGAACACAAAGCAACGATCCTCTCATCAGAAATCAGAAGCAGCAGCTACGTACTGCAAGCATCAACAATGGCGGCTTCAGCTTGGTCGAAGCTCGCCCTTCTTCTCTGCTACTTTGGCTTGAAGGCCTTCGTATTCGGCATCGTTGCCGAAAACAAAAAGGTAAATTGTTCGTCCTGTTCATCTGGTTCATTTGTTCACTTGTGTTGATTATTAGGTTATTATTTCCAAAATACTAAACCTACGGGATGCCTCTATCGATTGCAGCCTCAGTTTGGAACAGGTACCGTCACCGGAGATGGTTATGTCATGTGCGACTTCTCACGTCTCAGCGTGGTGATGGGGATCCTCTCGGTGATCTCGCTGCTAATCACCATCCTCATCGGCCACCGTGCCGTCTTCTACCCCTACCCTACCAACAAGACCAACCAGCAACCTGCATCAGTTCCTCGCCGAGCTCTGCTTCGAAGCACCATCCTCATAGTCTTCTTCATCATCGCCGAGTAACTAAATGAACCCTTTTATTTAGCTGGCTATCTAAGTACTCCCTCGGTAAAGTAATACAGCATCGTTTAGATCACTACTTTATTGATCTGAACGATCCTATATTAACGATCCTATATTAGTTTACAAAGGGAGTAATTAATTAAGGTCGTTCATCAATTATCTGTTCTGTGAAGTAACTAATTACCATTTCTCCATGGGATTAATCGTGAAAATAGGTTGGTCTCGATTTCGGCTTTGGTGATGCTGGTGGGAGCGACCAAGACGCAGGCGGCCAACCTCCGGTACCAGCTGCGAATACAACCTGACGGCACCATGAGCTGCCCGTCAAACACGGACAAGATGGACGGCCACTTCGGTGGAGGCGCCCTGCTGGCCCTTGATGCCGCGCTCATCTGGTTCATCTGCCAGCTGCTCGCGCTCGAGGCCCGGGCTAACTACCTCGACCGTCTCCCCGGGGATGATGAGGACTACGATGACAACAACAAGAAACATGATGGCGACAATGTAGCCTCTGAGGACCACAGTCAGCTAGCATAATGGTGCCACCTTATCCACCATGAGTCAAAACCATGCCATGTTGCAATGAAGCCATTTAAACAGGGTGGAAAGACATAAAACCTATACCAGCATTTCAATGACAAAACTATACTCATGTTTGTTAGAAAGCGCTTTGCTAGTTATGTACTGAATAATGATGCACAGAGCCAATACCAACACACATATACAAAATATGTCGAAAACTAGTAAAGTCGTAAAAGACCAAAGCTACGTGTAGGTGAGGAAAAATGAAATAGAAAACCCGAAGTGTTTAGATCCATGATTGGCAAATTGTACCAAACGACCATATCTATACCAACCAATTTATGACACCACATGACGACGATATTCTTCAAAAGGAATGCCTTCAGAAAGGGAGCGACTTTCATGCGCTGCCGTCATCAGATCCAACCACAAGGCTAGAATCCAGATTTTCACCCTGAAAAATAAGTCTAAGCATATGGAGCAATGCCTTCAACAAGGTAACGACGCAAAGACATCGCCATTGCAAGGTATAACCAACTAGGATCTAGGCTTTCACCCTGGAGTCTCAAGACCGGGTGCACGTAGCACCACAATTGAAGTCAGTCAAGTGTTATCGCCACCACTATTCTGCGATCACATCAGCTACAAGCGATGTGCGACCGCCGCCACTGCACAACCATTCATTTGCGTCAAGTCTTTGTCCATAGTTTGCATAACAACGCCGTAGTCAACCACCGGATCTGGAGAGACTAACCTTCTCCAAAGACCTTTTGGCGACCACCATCATTGTGGAGCCATAAGAGGTCGCTGTAGCACGGTCTGTAGCCACCATCGATGGCTGACTGGACCTAAATCACCACCAGATCTGAATTAGGACAACCACGCATGATCGACCATGGACGATGCAGAAGCTGCGGCCCCCAACATCAGGGGAAGATCCACTATCGACTCACACCGTTGCTACCACTTCACGAGAGAAACCATGCACCAAATCCATAACCGGCCCGATTGGATCCAGACACAGATTTTTAGAGCACTTGCACCCAGACCCTGCTATCCTGGCTCTCCAATATTGTTTTAAGATCTGTGCGAGACAACTAATTTCGTATATGATTTTTTCTCTTTTTTTGTTTCTCTTATATAGAACACGTCTTGAACTTCAAATTTTGCATCGCGGCAAAACTTACTAACTAGAATGTGGGATAAAACTTTCAGAATTCTTCGTCCGATATAAATACTAAAAATGTGGGATAAAACTAGTGTTAATAACATTGTGTTCACTAGTGTTAATAACATTGTGTTCTGTGATGGTAACCTATACCAAATCTGGAGGAATGCGGCCTGCACGGTTATTTTGCAGCTGCCAGGAGGGGGTCGTTGCCGTGTAGAACATGACGAAATATTTGTTTTAAGGTATGACCCCCAGCGCCGACCATGTTGGGACATTGTGGCCGACTTAAGGGGACACTCAGTGTTTGTTGGGAGGAACAATGCAATGTCGATATATGCGGGAGGTGTTCCGGGACTCAAGGGTGATTGTGTGTACTGGATCGGTGGGAGATGTAGGGATCGGGGCATGGTCTATGACATGAAAACTAGCAGGTTAACACCTTGCATTCCCCTCATGGATGGTGTCGTTCCGGGGTCTCCACAAAGCACAATCTGCTGGTACTTTCTGAGCGATGAATGAAAGAAGAGTTTACCAGATCCGAGCAAGGGCCGATGCTTAATCTGGAAAAAAGTGATGCGCCGCTGGGGCAGCTTGGCGACATAGTGATAAGGACCACCAACCAAATTGGTGGAAGTGATGTTGTGCCGTCGCTAAAGGGTTTTGTTCGTGTTTCATTCGAAGTTTATTTAATTCATGTGGAATCGTCGGCCTGTCATTTGATTCACTGTTCCTTACATTTGAAGTAACGCATCTAGTTGATATTTAGGTGGTTGCTCATTCAGTTCAATTTGGTTTTAGTTCTCTGAGATTCTTTCATGGTAGAGTTACATCATGTAACTGGTAATGGAGACTGTTTTCAAGCAGGGCAGACTGTGTTTTTGCATTTTCCACCATGTCATCGTGGCTAAGTTAATATTGGTGGGATGCAGCCTGAATTATGGACACGACTAGTGTGGGTAGAGAATCCAGGAGTATGTTATTTTTCAAAAGATAAAAAAGGCCCACTAATATTGTAGCTTGTGTAACAAGAAAGCTAGCGTTGAAATTTTTGGTTTGTTCAATTGCCATTTGCCAGGATGGCTGGTTGTATTTCAGGTTGTTTCTCACTCGTTTGCATTTGCATTAAGAAAATAGTAACTACGGGCGCCACAAATAATACACGCACACGCAGACTATTCAGATACACGGATTACACACATATACAGCAATTAACAAGAAAAACAACCCCTTGAGAATCATTATGCGTAACGAAGTGTAAACTTATTCCTGAATAATCTTTCGCCGTAAGATCGTGAAGTAAATCATCATCTCAGTGCAACGTGCAAAGCTTGCTTACACCCACTATCGAGTAAGCAAATAATTGATAGTGCGATGCAGTAGACATGATAGTGCGATGCAGTAGACAAGTCGACAAGTAACATGTCGGGGTCTTCTATATAATCGAGTAAAACTCTTACAAGGTTGCCTCTTCCTTCAGTTTGAAGGCTTCAACAAGAATATATTTATTTCTTTAGGCATCTTAGCCTCGATATGTTGCTCCTGCAGAAATAAAACAAAAGGAACACACTAGATGTCTTGTTTCAAGAAAGTGTACTCAACAAGAACACAACTTCCGCGCGGAAAATGTATATCACAGACAAGACGTATGGGCCTCCCTGAAAAAAGGTTCTAGCGACTTCACTAACTGTTACAGCAACGCGAAACTAGTGAAGGCTGGAAGTCGCTACAACAAATTGTATGGATAACAAGCAATAAGACTAGCCACAATGGAGAGTAACATACACTAGTAATATACACATATCTCTAGGCTATATTACTACCTTCATAGTGAGTAGTAACTTAGATGCGGTGTCGTGCAAAGCTTCATTTATTAGGTTATAGACTCATATTGTATTGGGAGATGTGATGTTACAGTAACTAGCTAAGTTACTAGAACTACCTCTCTCTTCATTAACTCATTGCCACATAGATAAATTTACTAAGTTGGACTCGAAGTTACTGCTGAAGTTACTCCCACTATGGCTAGTCTAAGATAAAGGAAAACTGACTAAGAGAAGAAGAGAAAAAAAATGCTCCCTTCCTCCTTGCCACCGTCAGCAGGCCCTGACGGGCAAAACACTGTCGACGTGGCGGCGAAGGGGTCCTTGCCTCTCTTCTGCTCGTGGTGGCCGACCTGGCACGGAGACTTCGGGTGGCTGTGCTAGCGAGGATTTCCTTTTTTCCTAATCGATTAACATTTTTTTAAATTTGGAAAGAAAATTTGAAATTCATGAACATTTCTTTGTTGTGACAAATATTTTTTGAAATGCATGAACATTTTTCCAATCTCATGAATATTTTTGAATTCGTGATCTTTTTTTGAAAATTGGGAACAAGTTTTGAAACTTGCTGATTTTTTTTTCAATTTTCGTGATTTGTTTTGAAAATTTCATGAAAATTTGTTGAATTCTCAAACAATTTTTGAAATTCACAAATCCTTTTAAATATGCGAATTATTTTTGTAAATCAGGAACATTTGTTTATTTCTCAAATATTTTCTGAAATCATGAACATTATCTTAATGTGAACAGTTTTTCAAAATCGGAGCAGTTTTGAAACCGCGAACATTTTATGATTTCCCGCATATATGTCAAAGTCTTGAACATTTTTGGAATTCAAGGACATTTTATGATTTCCCAAACATTTGTTTTTTCAAGATTCACAAGTTTTAAATGTTGGAACTTTTTGAAATCCCAAGTTAATTTAAATAATAGAAAGAAATAAGAAAACTGAAATAATGAGAAAAAATGAAATAAAAAATGGGTTGTCACGCTCTGTACATACGCTGGCCCAAGAACCTGTATGTTCAGCCCGCATGTCGCTTAATAGGGCCTTCAGTTTGAGCATGAGAAGCTCGTTCAGGAGCAGCCGCCCGTGGAACTCTTGTTTTGAATACGTCTAAAACGTATTTATACTTTTTGACAGTTAATGCTATTATAATATCTTATATATATATATATGTATATATTATTTTATAGTAATCTATTAATTTAGTGCCCAGTGTCAGTTTATATTTTCTGCTTGTTTTTGAATTCACAGAAAATCAATATGCACGTAGGTCTTAACACGTTGCCGATTTAGCATGTTTTTTCGACAGAAAGAAACACTAGAATCTTCGGGAGGCATCGAGGGGACCCATGAGGCAGCCAAATAGATACACGGCGAGGCCGAGGGTGGCCGCGCCACCTATCCGTGTGCCCCCCTGAGTACTGCCTCCAATTCCACCGCCATAAATCCCTATAAATACGGAAACCATCCATCGTGTCTCTAAGATAATTTTATCGCCGCCGCAAGCCACTGTTCTGAAGAGATCCCTTCTGGAGCCCTGTTCTAGAGTTCTGTCGGAGGGGGAAGCCATTGCCGGAGGCATCTTCATCAACCATCCTACCTACGTGATGATGTGTGAGTAGTTCCTTTAGGACCCGGGAGTCCATAGTAGTTGCTACATAGCTCTCTCTCTCTCTCTCTCTCTCTCTCTCTCTCTTGGATCTTCAATACCATACCCTCTTTTGATATCATACCGATGTAATTCTTATGGTGTGTTTGCTTATATCCGACGAATTGTGGATTTATGATAAGCGATTGTTCATTGAATATTATTAAATCTTTTGAAATTTCTTTGTTGTTTATTAATTAGCCATGTATGCTTTTGGAGTTATTTATCTTCTCTGGCCAAGATAGATGGGTAACACTTTAGAGGGATTGGTGCATAGTAGTTGGTTCGATCTTGTGGTGCTCTAATCCAGTGACAAAAACGACCAAGACACATATTTTATTGTTGCCACCTAGGATAAAATGACGGAGA